TCAAAGTTACGGCTGCGGCCTCGTGTTCTCACATGCTGATTCGGCGACGGGGGCCGCGGCGCCGCACGCAGCGCAGAACACACACACAACAAAGAGCCGAGGGCGTCCATTAATCAGTGTGGCTCATTGTCACGGTCGGGCCATTAGCCATATGTTCACAGCCAATCTGCCAACACTCAGAGCTGCGTCAGTAACTGACGGAGGGACTAGGGATTTTTTTTAATGTTTTTTTTTTGTCATTTTTGCGTTTTTCTATAAAGACGTCAGTGAATAAACTCCCAACAAGGTCAAACGCCTGAGTTTAACAAGAGTTTTTTTTTTTTATATTTTAAGAAGTAACTCTCTCCGCGTACCACGGCCGGCCCCGCGGGCCAGACTTTGGACGGTCCGCGGTTCATTTCCCGCATGATGAACAACGATCATTTACAGTAGAATCTGTTTCCAAATATGATATTTATTTGTAAATCTGTGGGAAATCAGATCAGAATTTCAATACATTTTTTTTTTTTTTTTTTTTTACCAGAAGAGTCTGAACTGCCCGAGGAACGTTCCGCCGCTATAGAATAAAATATTAGCGCTCGCCCATTTCACGGTTAAAGTCCCTGCTTGTGCATACAGATGAGGCCCAATTTATATTGTTACACTTAAAGTTGTTCACTGACAAGGTCAGGGAATAAGAACAACTTAATTCATGTGCTAAATTTGAATTTTTATAACAACTGGTGTGCGTGTGAACACTTCCCTCTGCGTGTGTGTGTGTGTGTGTGTGTGTGTGTGTAAGAGAGCGAGTGTTCCTGCCTATATTTTATAGTCAGACTGAGCAGGAAGGCCCATTTGTTAGCCACAAAACAACAGGAGAGTTCAGATTGACTAATGAGTTTCTCTGTGTCCTAATTAACCAGGCGTCACACACACACACACACACACACACACCTTCCTTTGTATAGGGAATGTTGGTAAAATGCGTCTATAAATAGACTCTGTTCGCTGCACAACCTACTTCTGTAGGAATTCATCTTTTGATTATAATTAAAGCTCAGACTGATCTTCCTTAACAGATATGGTTCTCATGTCTCGGTGTGTGTGTGTGTGTGTGTGTGTGTGTGTTTGGGGAGGGAGGGGGGAGAGGTTAACGATGGTGACATCGTAAAAAATGGAATGTGCGCCGAGGAATGACTGGTGAGAAGTTTCGTCGCAAAGAGAAAAGAAAAGATTTCTTTTCCCTCCTGAGGAGGACCAATTAAAATTCAATGATTTCTAACAGGAAATCCATCCGGTTAATGCCATTGGTTGTTGGTTCTTGGACCACTATGAGTGTATGGTGGTGGGTGATCTGCAGGGATGCTGCCCTCGGCCTGTTTTTTCTCAAAGAATTCAGCAAAGTTTTTGGGTTGTTCCAAAAGTAATCAAAAGTTCCGCTCTGATCCGTCTGAGCATGTGCAGAACCTCGGCCGACGACGGCCGTTTTAAAATAAGTAGAAAAGTAAAAAAAAACAGGTGACATCATCGCGGTCGTCCTCACCTGCACATGATCTCGTGTGTCAGCAGAACTCGACACATCTCCGGGTTCTTGTCTTGACCTTCGTAAACTATGGGCTGAAAAGAGAAGCAGAAAAAAAAGGTTAAATATTTTGACAATTTGACGTCAGTGTCTAAGACCAGTGGGCGGAGCTTGAGTTCAGATTCCAGATGTGGTTAGTCTAGAGTTCGGGTTTAGAATTTTGACAAACTCAAAGATCGAACTTCAGGCTTATGTAAGTCTGACTTAGTTCTGGTAACTGATAAACTGAGATAGGATAAATATAAATAAATATATATATACGTTTATGGAAGTTAAAACAGAGGAACCACGAGATTTCTTTTTAAATTGAACGTTTCCTTTTTTTTTTTAGCCGGATGAGCTGTGAATGTTATTTTTTAAAAATTGAACGTTCCTTTTTTAGCCGGATGAGCTGTGAATGTTTTACTTCACCCGTAAATTTGTATTTTAAAGAATACAAATTTAGAAAGATTATCGTTGAGCCAAATGTGAAATATTCTCCCTGTAAAACTAACGTTATCTGAGCTCATAAAAATAGATTTAAATCGTTAAATACAATACTTTACAATATTATATTATTATAATATTAAAAGGCACCAGAGGAAAAGAAAAAAACAGAAAAAGACGTAGATGTAAAGTACGGTATCGTCAGCATACGGGTGAATATTTAGTGACCAAACTCTCAGAGTATTTGACAAATATTCATGAGTAAAACTGTGGTATCAGGGCAGTTTTTATTATAGTCTTTATTTTCTCCAGCAGGGCCCAACGACATCGCCGTCAGTGTAATTAGAGAGAGAATAACAGGTTAGTTCCCGCTTCACCTCAGCGAACACACCGTTCAACAGTCACACCTCCAGTTCACATGTACACTCTCACACTCACTGTCTCTGCACG